CAGGTCTACTTCAGGATATCCACAGACATAAATACTTGCTGCAAAGCCTGGTCAGGAGAGTTGTCCAACCTGTTCTGCCTTCCATCTTTTGATCAGACACTCAATGTCTTCATTTGGCTTAGATGAGCTGCCTATCTCATCTTTTTTGTGCATCTGGGTATGTTCTCTATTGCACAGGCAACAGCAAGTGAGCTGGGCCGCTCTTGCAAAGTGTACTCCAAGGTTGGTCCACACATTTATTTGATTTTCCCTGAGGCAAGGGTCTCAGTCCAATGGTCTAGTTGGAGAGCCCCTCAAGAAACCTCACCTAAAAAAAAAAAAAAAAAAGAAGGAAAGAAACCTCACCTAAGAAATCCTCAGACTTGACCCTTGTGTGCACCAGTCAGTGCAGGGTCAGGTTCAGTCTGCTGCTCCATCCATTGCACATACTAATGGATATAGCTGCCAAGTCAGTCCTGCTCCCAGCCCCAGCTATCATGTGAACCAGAGAGTAATGCAGAACAATTTTTGAAATATTTTTAATTTATACTTAATTAAATCTATAAATGCAGATGCTGCAAACATGGAGAGCCAACTGTATTTAGAAAATAACATTGAAAATTATATGGTAAATCTGATATGAAATCAGGAGTAAGTACAAAGAAAATCAGATACCTCTTTTTAAACTAGAAATTATTGACTCAGGAATACAAAATATTATTTCAAGAGAGAAATGAAGAATAATGAGCTACTTCCCTTGGTAGTAAACAATATTTGCAAAGCTTTATTAAATATTGAATAATGATTTTGAAAAAAAAAACATGATTTATATACAGCTGGGTACATGTGTCAGTCATTAGAGCTGTTCACAAATATTTCAGGCTATCTCCTTCCGGGCATTTGAGAGGTCTGAACTTGCCAGTCCCCTTACAGATTAAGTGTGTGATTCATTTTGGTCAATAACACATGAGTGAAACTGACTTGTACCACATCTGGGCAGAAGCAATGAGTGTCAGTGCGCAGTGACTATTACTTGTCCTGATTTCTGAAACCCCAGAATCGGATGTTGAAATGGGGTTTCTACCAGCTTTAGTCCCTCAGTGGCCCAAATGAGCAAGAAGCACTCTTCCCACCTATACCAAACATATGGCATGAGGAAGAAATAAACTTTTGTTATGTAAAGCAACTGGTAATTAGGAATTGTTATGCAACATAAACTAGCCAAGTTTAAACAACAGAGCCTATAAAATAGCTGGATTCTTACCTAACATCACAGGAAGCCAATACACACCTAAAATAATGTATGCTGTAACATCAATATACACGTATTTTATAAAATATGAAGATGACTAGTAAAAGCAGTATCTAAAATAGTTAAGAAATGATTACTCCAGAAGAACAGGATTAAAAAGGAACAGTGCTGGAATGATTGTTATCGCTGTTGTTGTTATAAGCTTGCTTTTAAAAAAATTACTATTGATTTTTATTGGAAAGTCAGTTTACAGAAAGAAGGACAGAGAGAAAGATTTCCTGTTCACTGGTTCACTCCACAAGTAGTCGCAATGTCCAGAGCTGAGCAGAGCTGAGCTGAAGTCGGGAGCTAGGAGCTTCTTCTAGGTCTCTCACGCAGGTACAAGGTCCCAAGGCCATCTACTGCTTTCCCAGGCCATAAGCAGGCAATTGGATGGAAAGTGGAGCAGCTGAGATATGAACTGATGCCCATACAGGATCCCAGAGCTTGCAAGGTAAGGATTTATCCACTAGGCTATTGCTCTGGGCCTGTAAGCTTGCTTTTTAAGAAAATGTTTTACGTTAGTACATTGACACATAATTTAAGCCTTTATAGTGGAGATCTCAAATAAGGAATAAAACATTGCATACAGTTTTTCGTTTGTTTTTAGAATGAAGTTCCTCAGAATTATTCAAGATTCATAATGAAGAAAGCCAAATCCAGGCTTCATTGTTTTCAATAAAGGAACTCAATTATTACCTGACTTTTGAGACATGTTCCTCTAGATAAAATATTGACTCTAAATATTTTGCAGAATTTTATCCCCAGGAACATAGTTGGAGATTATGATAAAGATGATAAAACAGAAATTAGAAGTAGAGTAGAAATTAATAAGCAAAGAATATTTATGCAAGCAATCAGGAATATTTAAAAACAGTATATGAGAAGTCTTGGAAATGGCATTATTAGAAAAAACAAAATCATCTAAAAATAACTAAATCTAAGATAACTTTCTTTCTCCAAGATCTCAAGACAGTTATCTCACATTAAGACACTCGTTCAAATAAACCTTGAATATATACTGTGCTTCTTGAAAGGAACAATATTGTCTACATTCCAAGAATAAGTAAGAATAGCCTCTAGGGCCCGGCGCGGTGGCGCAAGTGGTTAAAGGTCCTCGCCTTGCACGCCCGGGATCCCATATGGGCGCCGGTTCTAATCCCAGCAGCCCCGCTTCCCTTCCAGCTCCCTGCCTGTGGCCTGGGAAAGCAGTCGAGGACGGCCCAAAGCTTTGGGACCCTGCACCCGCGTGGGAGACCCAGAAGAGGCTCCTGGCTTCAGATCGGCATAGTATCGGCCTGTTGTGCTCACTTGGGGAGTGAATCATTGGACGGAAGATCTTCCTCTCTGTCTCTCCTCTCTCTGTATATCCACCTTTCCAATGTAAAAAAATAATAAAAATAAATCTAAAAAAAAAAAAAAAGAATAGCCTCTAGGCAGATACATGTGTATACATGTTTATGTATATATCTGTTTATCTTATATATTGCATGAAGCTTGCCTTGTATTGGAGAGAAAATATGGTATTTGTCCTTTGGGGATTGGTTTATTTCACTAAGCATAATGGTCTCTAGTTGGGACCATTTTGTTGCAAATGGTTTAATTTCATTCTTTTTAATGGCAGAGCAGTATTTCATAGAATAGATCCTTCAGTTTGTTTACCCATTCCTGTTTTGATGAACATCTGGGTTGTTTCCATTTCTTTGTATTGTAAATTGTGCTACTATAAATATAGGATTACAGATCACTTTCTCACCTATAGATTTCATTTCATTTGGATATATTCCCAGAAATAGAATATGGCCATATGGTAGATCAATTTTCAGTTCTCTTAGCACTCTCCATACTGACTTCCATAGTGATTGTACTAGCCTACACTCCCACCTAGAGTGAAGTAGGGTACCTTTTTCCCCATATACATATATTTAAAGGGACTGTGTAATGGAAGCAAGCATACCATGAATTGGAGATACATCACAATATGCATCTCTACTGATAAAAGATGTACACAGTACACATATTCATCTGAATCAAAGATGGACTCCCAATGAAACTGTTAAATAAATCTTGGCAATAGGATGTTGGACAGTTCTACCATTGTCTACACCTACATTGTCATGATACACTTAAATAGTAGAATATGGACTTGTGACTGTTGTTGAAAGACTATAAAAGTTTCATAATATAGGGGACATCTGTGGCGGGGGAGAGGGGAGAAGGGAAGGGTGGAAGAGGAAATCCCTGAGCCTATGGAATTGTATCATTAAAAATAAAAAATAAATTAAAACACAAGAAGAGCCTGCAGAGGACCCATATATCCCACAGCAAAGTAACAGAGAGATGAAGCAACACGAATGATTGCCTGTGGTGAAACCTGCTTCATCAACCAGAAGAGAACTATTGAAATAACATCAGGAGACAAGGTTCTGCTTTTACATGGGTTATCACATCAATCCAACCATACTCCTGATTATAACCACAAAACCCACTAGGAACATGTCAGCTTGAAGATACCATGCAGCCTTGAACCAGAGGATAGTGACACATATACCAGAATAAGTATGCACTACAACAAACAGTTTCTGATTGTGATCCTAATACACTTGAACTTTGATTGCTCTTACAAGCCTAGTTAATATTTGATCATGGCTGCTTATGAATTGGATTCACAAAATAAGCCATATCAGTCCTTTATATCTGAATTGGATATGGAGTACTTATGCTTGCTATTAAATATAGGTCTCTATGTTCTGGGACATCAAAATATTTCAACAGAGCAAGTAGTGTAATCAGATTTCTGACTGGGTAGCTGTTGCGAAACTATCTCTGTTCTATTTCCTTTTCAACTCTTCCTCAAAAAAAAAAAATGTCTTCCCTCCATTCTTTAAGCTAAATACATACCACAGATATCTCAAACTGATGCAAACCTCTGATTACAAGCCATGCTGGATGCCTTAACCTTTGAATCACATCACACATAGGGCTAAGGATCACTTTAATAGCTTCCTCTTCCACCTTCTGCTAGCTGAAGAAGAATTCTAAGAATGTCAAGACACTCTTACCTTGAACCCAGCATCTAAAGTTTGAAAGATACCAACATAACCTTCTGAAAGTTAAAAATCTCAACTGTTCACAATGTGACCAGAATATACTTTTCAATAATCTAGTCTCTAGTAGCTTCCTGCCAGCATAAACATTGCCTGATTACTTGTGATTCTCTGAACAAATCATGCACTAACTGGTTCTTAACCTCTGCTCATGCCAATGCTTTGACCTGGAATCTTCCATTCAGCCCTATGGAGTATCAGATTTAGTTTCTGGTGTCTTTTATCTCCCACTAGACTGAACAGCCAAGCAGAGAGCAGGACTGTACATTTCTCACCTAAACATTTTGAACATCCAGCAAATACTTTAAAAATCTGTGCTAAGTTCATCTTCAAAGGTACCATAAACCATTCATTGATTTCTATTTTTCAAAAAATAATAAGTATATGAAATGGAGATTATATATGTATAAATGTATGTATACATATACGAGAGAGATTTCTACTCCACAGTTTTACTCCCAAATACATATAACAGGCAACCCCTCCACCCCACCCCATGGGAGGAGGACAGTGAAGCCAATGAGAAGCAAAAGCAAAGTGTTCTGAAGTTAAAGTTCACAGAGGTGTTGGAGCAGCTGCATGCAACAAGAGGGAGGTGCAAGAGAGCTAGCATGCACACTTACCCTTTGCTGCAGTTCACACAGGTTCACATGGCTACAGCCTGAGAGGTCTGGTGCCAGGGTGCCCTCACAAAGCAGTGTAAGCAATGCCCCAGCTTAAGCATTGTGGTGGTACCTTGGAGAGAAAAAATAAAATAAAATAAAATAAAAACAATAAAATGGAAGATGCTACTTCTTGGAATACTGCCTTGGTGTGGCCAGAAGACTTAGAGAGCACATGAAGATCTCCCAACTCTAAAGCAAAAGTGCAAAGTGTAGTTGACATTCCTCATGTGTTCAAAGTCTGAATGAAATGGCTGTGCACTGGATAGGTTCAGTTTCTCAGCTTGGGTTTGAGAACATGACCAATGGGTCTATGATGACCATTGTGCTGAAATTAATACAGAACAAGAGAACATAAAACATATCTCCTGTAAACACAGAGTGGTGGAAGCATCCCAAATGATTGCCCAAGAGACAAGAAACAGGCAAAATTCTAACATTCGTTGCAACTCTAAGTCAATAAAGCTACATTGTCCAACAGCCCCATAAACTGGTTGAAGAGCTTAAGCACAAAAGATGTATAGAATACTATTGAGTCACAAAAAAAGAATGAAATTCTGAATTTTGCAACTAAGTGGATATAATTGAAGACCGTTACATTTGGTGAAATAAGACAATCCAAATAAAGAAAATAATAGTATATTTTCTCTGATTGTGGTAACTATGATATATAGAGCCAAAAATGTTATGTATGTGAGTATAACTAACAATTGAGATTTATCATTTATAGCCCTGTCTATATTCGTGAAGAATAGTGCTTTCTCTACTTCACACTTACTGAATTCCTTATTTATTGTAGGTTAAGCTTGGTATTACAATGTAAATTGAAGGTATCTCACTGCAAAAATATAAGAAATAGGAAAGCATGGAGAGAGGATGGAAGGAGTAGGAAATATCATGACATTATTAAACTGTATATACAGGGCACGGCGCAGTAGCCTAGTGCCTAAAGTTCTTGCCTTGCACATGCCAGGATCTTACATGAGCACCGGTCCTAATGCTGGTAGCACCACTTCCCATCCAGCTCCCTGCTTGTGCCCTGGGAAAGCAGTGGAGGATTGATCAAAGCCTTGGGACCCATCACTCACATGGGAGACCCAGAAGAAGCTTCTAGCTCCTGGCTTCAGATTCGCTCAGCTCCAGCCATTGCAGCCACTTGGAGAGTAAATCATCAGAAGATCTTCCTCTCTGTCTTTCCTCTTTGTATATCTGACTTTCCAATAAAAATAAAATAAATCTTAAAAATTGTATATACAAAATACATAAACTTTGTTCCCTCCATATAAGTAAAATGCAGAAGACAAAAAACAATGTATAAGCTGAGTATGCTGTGCATAATCTACCAAAGGACACTAGCTGTTACATAAATCAAATGTTGCTGTACTTCAATCACCAAAGAGTATGCTCACATGAGCCTTTTAAGTACCTTTTTTGCCCAAAAGCCTGAAATTCTGAAAGATAGAATGATATATTAAGTTATTTATGGAAAACAGTGGTAAGCAAGAGTAGAAAAAGTAGTGTGCGAGGGAGGAACAATGGGTTGATAGTAGTCACCAATGATTTATGTAATTGGATTTGTCTGATCTACTCATAGATCTTGAAGTAAATCCAATCACCAACTGACAGAAGTATTAACAGCTGAAACCCATTTACCCAAAAGAAAAAGGACAAATCTTACAAGTAAAAAAAGAAACATTAAAAAGGGACTGGAGAAACATAATATTAAGAAAACAAAAGGGCAGTAGCACTGTGGAGTTAAGCTGATGCTGGCATCCCACATGAGCACTGGTTCCAATTTCTGATTGAACTCCCTGTTAATGCACCTGGGAAAACAGCAGAAGATGGCCCAAGTCCTTGGGCCCCTGCCACCTACATTGTGAAGCCCAGCTGAAGCTCCTTGGCACCTGGCTTCTGTCCAACTCAGCCGAGACTGTTGTGGTCATTTGGCGAGTGAACCAACAGATGCAAGATTCTTCTCTCTCTGCTTTTCAAATTAAATAAAATAAACCTTTTTAAAAGAAAAAGGAAACATTTTGAAAGGTACGTGGGTGCGGCCCATGCAATGGCTCAACTGTCTAATTCTCCATCTGCAAGTACTGGCATCGCATATGGATGTTGGTTCCAGTTCTGGCTGCTCCACTTCCCATCCAACTCTCTGTTTGTCGTTTGGGCAAGCAGTAGAGGATGGACCAAAGCCTTGGGACCCTGTACACATATGGGAGACCCAGAAGAAGCTCCTGGCTCCAGATTGGCTCCATTTGTTACGGCCGGCTGCGTCAGCAGCATGGGACACGGTGAGGGTCTGAGGATGGAGGCACCGACTGGAGACCAGTGATGGTTGAAGTCTCTCTCCGAAGCCTCTCTGAGGCCTCCCTCTATTGCCTTCTCTCTTGACCTTTCACCTGCTTCTTGTTTACTCTACCTGACACCCTCATTAGCGCATATTCGATACAGCTGAGACCAGGTGCTTCTAGCCCCAAGCCCACTCCCTGTAGTGCTCGGCTTAAGGGCTTAACCAGTGCTAGTCAACTCCTTAGCCCACAACAAGGATCAGTTATTGCAACCCTTTGTAGCATGAACCATAGGATGGAAGATCTTTCTCTCTGTATCTCCTCTCAGTAAATCTGCCTTTCCAATAAAAATAAATCTTAAAAAAAAAAAAAGGTACTTGATAGTGCCTCTTTAAAGTTCTCAAAAGCCTCTGAAAAAGTTGGAAGTTTTGGGAAAATAATAACCTTTTCTAATAGTTTTTTTTTAATATGCAGTGATTTTTGGTTGTTTTTTTCCTCCTCTTGGTCATATGTATATGATATTTGGCCTCTCTGAATTTCAACCAATGACAGTTTGCCCTGGAGAACTTTTTTTCACATTGGACTGCAGAATAAAGAGCAAAAGAGTTACAACAGCTAGCTTTCAGCTAATAAATCTGGACAGTAGCTGTTTGGAATCCTATTATATTTTATTTCATCTGAGACTGACAAATCTTCTTGTAGCATCTTTTGGGTAATACTTCCTGGACATGAGAGGTAGAAACTCTGGGTTCAATGCCAAAAGAACAATGATATGTCCAGTTTCCTGTGAATGTGTAACTGGAAAATGGGGTTAGTTAGGCCATTTTCTATACCCTGTAGCAATACTTCCACAGCAACAGCGGGGACTGCAAAGACATCAATGCAAGGAGAGCAAAATAAGGGGAGATGAGTCCATATCAAGAAAAATAGAAACTCAGAAGCCCCCAGGGTCATTCCTAAGGGAATGGTGATTCAAGCTATATTTTTAAATGCACACATAGCTAAGTAGAAAATAGTGTAGTACCCCCATGGAAAGGCCTGAAAGGCAAGACTGTATGCCATACCCCCAGCCCAGTAGGGTAGACTTAGTGGGGCCCTAGAATATATCCTATTTTCAGGCACACTGTAATGTTCATGAGAAAGGTTACAAATTAGTGAGCCTCCATGGGCCCTGAGGTACTTCCCAGAGAGCACTTAATACCTGTGGTATCAGACTAAACTTGAATTCCTTGCTTATTGGATGGAGTTGGAGACTTCTACTATCCTACTAACCTTAGGTCCTATTGTTTCATGTGATAGGTGACATTGAGAATTCCAACTGCTGGCCTTTAGACGCTACCCCCAATGAGGAGGCAATGATTAGAGTGTAGGACCGGGAAACGGGTCTATCTTATCATTGTGCTCTGCCAAGAAGTACATTAATCCACAGTGTAGGGTATCAAGTGCTAGGTAACATAATAGAATTCAGCCTTTAAATCAGCAACACAATGCAGCAGCTCACATTATAGGAATAACTGATACCAGTATATATATTTATATATATATATATTTATTTATATATATATATAATAAACTTTTCAGTGTCGGTGAACCAGAGAGAAGAACATCAACATTCGTACCAAACAGATTCATTCATTTAGATTTCCTTCCCTTCTCTTGGTAAACTGCTACACCAAAGGAATAATTACTGTCAGTGGAATACTGCAGAGTTCTAGCCAAAAATAGTCACATCAATTTTAACCAGTAAATATGAATTACTGAAAGATAAAGAAAGTCTCCTTCCAGAGGTTATTACTTGTCTCTTCAGAAATGTTTGCCAATATAAAATCCTCCCCTCCAGGCTGTGGAACTCAAAAATGAGAGTCACAGCAGTATATCTGCATGTAAGGGACCGGAAGGCATCAGGTAGGAGGGGCAGAGGTATGTTTTCACAAAGCTTTGTTTCCTGCTGTGATCTGAAAGCTGTAATACAAAGGGGAAGATCTAAGATTTAAGCACAGGTGAAGGCACATTCACACAGGAGAGACAGCAAATACTGGAATGATCAGCAGTGCTTCATGTAAGTACCACCTGACAGGTTCTACAAAGGTTTTTGCATCCATTATCTCTCTAGAGCCATCCAGTATTCTCTATGGGGTAGATAAGATAAAGACTGTTAAGTCCTTTTCATGGATGAAGTACTAGAGGTGTAACAGCAATACATTAGACCTCATTTCAAACCTGTTTCTGGTCCCACAAGCATGATATCATCCAGGTGGTGGTCTACACAATTGGCATATTCACCACTGCAACAGCCAAACACCCACAAACCAAACACTGCTATTAATTCATCTAAGAACACTGCCTTTGTCTCAGGTTTGGACAAAGTCATTCAAAGTATTCACATCCACTTGTCTCCTGATAGAGGCTCATAGCTGGTCCAGTAGCACTATTACTAAGCATCAAAGGAGGCACTGCCACTGTGTACCTTCCACAGACATGTCAAGTATCCACTACAATCTAGCTAGCAACTGAAGAGTTTGCTTACAACACTTCACCTTGATTCCTTCCCTCTGTAAGCATTAATGATCCCACTTTCTCAACTTAACCACAATTCCAAGGGACATCAAGGTGTTTGTGATCAGCCAGTACCTCAAGAAGCTTTGAACATCTTCCATTTATCACATGGACATTTAGGACATCTTCCAACAGTCCCAATCTAAAACTAGGGCAAAAGGTCTCTACCCCGGACATCATAATTTACAGTATTTGTTCTGGCAGTGTTCCACCCATATCATTACCCAAAGGGAAGGGAAGTCTAGAAACCCAATGGGTCTTGCCAATCAAAGTCTACTCTCTCTGCTAGCTCTCGCTCAGAATCTCCTAACCTGGGAAATTTCCTGCCCATGTGTCCCCAAGCCATTGTTCAGGGACCCTGTGCTCCCCTTCCCAAGTGTGACCCTCTTCTGCTTCCATGAGAATAAACTCTAACCTGAGGGGTGGTCTCTGTGAAGATGCTGTTTCTTCATGTAGTGGGCTTGAACACGCAGGATCAAGCCATACTTCTCACAAGTTTTGAGCCAACGCTGATACTTAGGACTGGAGTACACACTTTGAAGAACAAAGCTGATTGGTCCCAAGCATTCACAGAAAGCCACTGAGGTAAGTGACAGAGCCATGAGATTAAAGATAAGAGAGGAGTCTTTATTGAGCCTGTATTCCACACTCCTATCCCAGTCCAGCAGTTACCATGGCCTTGCCTTTTATCATGCCAAGGAGATGTGTCGGAAGTATGCCAAATATCTTTGGGAAACAGAAAAACAAACACCTGGGACATGACATTTGCCCCTGCTTCAAAGCCCCTATATACTTCCCATCATTACCCTCTGTAAACCTGACCCACTCAGACTGACACGTAGCCAAGAATCCATAAAACGATAGACTTAGATTTTGGTCTTCTAACTAGTCACTGACAATTTATATTGAAATTACCAAGGACACGTAGGTAAATTTGATTATTCCTTTTTTACTAATTGTAAATATAAGGGTAAGAATAAACACAAAATTCATAAGAACATTGCTTAATTGGAATATTCAACTTATGGAGCAAACTAACAAATGTATCCCAGAGGCACAGTAGTTTTAAAAATCTAGAATGATTTATTTAAATCTAATGATAGCATTGGCATATGTAAACAAATAAATGCAGACAACTGATTGAAACAAGGGCTAGTAGGTCATGAGACTATTTGCTTTGAACCCCCAAAATTGATTGATAATAATAATAAGAGCATCACACAAGAAAATTCCAAGAAACTTCTTGTGCTCTAAGACACTCCATTTGAAAATCACCATTGTTTTATGTCAATCAGTGGATTCTTCAAAGACCTCATAGTGCTTGGAGTGGCAAGATTGGCAGCGATTCATAACTGTTGAAATATCAAAACCACTTGAGCAAGAACCTCAGAGCATGCCCTACATCCAGGACCTGGGGAGGGTGGGAAATTGGGTGGGCCTTCCTCCTTAATACCCCCCTTTTAACATGAAGGAAACAATATGGGAAAAATAATAGTCTTACCCACTTTCCTACTGTAGCCCTTGAACCTTTTTACTCTAATTAACTATGTAATGATTGTCAAAATATAATTAAAAAAAAAGAAAACCACCATTGAGATGTATGTCATATTATTAAAAATCAGACTTTCTTCCTAATTTCACTGGTTGGCACTCAGGCACAACAGAAGCAAAACATTGTAAGATGAAAAAAGAAGTCCCATCACAGTGGTCTGGACAGTGGTTCATAGAGAGCTGCCAAATATTTTAATATTTAATAATACATCCAAACTAAGCCTTGTTACACCTGCAGAATACAGAGAACTCTGCCCGAGTCCTGATTCGGCAGTTAACTCACTCTGTGAGGTTAAATAATATCCTGTATTTTTCTAAGTCTCAGACATAGGATCCAGGCAGCCTCTTCAAGACTGATGCCTGGAGCTTTATATTTTAGAATTTCATACTTAAGTGAAGATTCATGGTCACCCCATCCATCACAGATAGATACTAGAAGAAAATAAGGAAAGGAAACCTTTATTTTGTTCTTGCTGGCATGGTTCTGTACTTTCACTCCGAAGTTCAAAACATTTTAATAATTTATTCCATTGGATACATAACAGAGGAACAAAAAGGAAATTAATCTTGAAGAAATCATGTATCTACAATCTTTGAATACCTTTTACTTAGTACTGTTCCAGCTATGTCTGCACATTGCCCATCTTTCCTACTTCTGGATGGAGGGAAAAAAGTATCTACCTGTTGTAGTGTGAGACAGGTCTTCAGAGAAAAAGACCAGAGACCTAGAGAGAAGGAGACGCCGTAGTCTAGGCAGGAGATGATAGGGACCTGACACAAGGCCGTGTCGACGGGGGCAGAGTGGAAAGGACAGATTCAAAAAGCATTCAGGAGGACACGCTGACAGAAATGCACGTTAGAGTTTAGAAAGAAGGAAGTGGAGAGTAAACGCACTTCATTGCTTGAGTGATGGCACTGGCGCTGTGCCTCTGATGAGGAAAAGGAGATTTAACATTTACTGTGAGGAGTCCTTTAGTCATCATGTGGAAAAACCCAGCAAACATTTGGGTATTCTGGTGTAAAATCAACTAGACCTAGCAGTGGCAGAGGCAACCTTGAGCTTAGTCTGGAATCATTCAACAAATAGGTCCCAACTCCTGAAATTCCACTACATTTCCTCTTTTATTCATTAAAGTATTTAGAATTCTTATCAAAATATTTACAGTTCTTTATTATTTTGCTAGACTATAGGATACATGGGCATATACTTAGTGCTAATTTGTTTGATCTAGTTATTCAATCTTGTATCCATAAAAAATCATAATATCACCACTTTGTACTCTATAAATATAACTAATTTGTCCATTTACAATTAAGGGTAATAATAATAATAGTAAGCAGAGATGGTTTCTGCCCTTGTGTAGTTGTCATGAGGCAAGTGAGACAATGAGAGGAAAAAAGAAAATGTCTGTAATTTTAAGTAAAAGAAAGCAAATGAGTATAATGTTTACGAATACTAGGGGGAATTGTGAATCTGATTACTCTGGAAAAGCTCTTAAATCCTTATCAGAAGGCCATCCTTGTACAAGAGAATTGATCATGTAATACCATATAGGCAGGAAGAATTTCATCACAAAGTTGGGAGACCCACCACCTTCATTTCTATAATATGCCTAGGATATTTGCTGCTGCAGTTGCTGATATTTAAGTGATAGTAATAAAGTACTACAATAAGGCATGATCATAAAATTATACCACAGCCAAAACACTTGATGCCTATGAAATGGTATTTAGCAATTTTATGTTGTCACTGATGGGGCTGGATACAGATGGTTGCATTAGCCAGATGTAACATTAACTTAAGCAAAACTTCAAATAAAATTGCTACAGAGCTCTGCATTCCAGTACTAATAGCTCTGATTGCATCTAATCTTGCCAGCTTATTGAAACCACACTCTGGGCAAAGTTACCATTCTGTAGAGTTTCAGTCAAACACTGCTATTGAGGAAGCAATACTTAAAATAACATTCCTTTTAATGATTAAATAGAGAGTTGGCACAAACTGCAGGGCACACAAAAAAAATCTATACAGCCACTGGGGAAAGGATAAGTAGGTTGTATTTTGCAATTTCTTCCTGGTGGGTTTACAATTATTCCACAGCACGGCAGCTAAGATGTTTAAAAAATCACTTACCTGAATCCCAGCAATAATTAGTTCCCTATCCTTTGTATGTTCGCCATGAGTTCTGTTGACCTCACTGCAAGGAAAAATGAATTTACCCATTTACATTTTGAAATACTTATTCCTTACAGGCAAACACAAGCGTACTGGGGGTTGAACAATTTCTGGCCAGCAGTGTATATTTTAACCAGGATATTTAAAATGCATTGGGTGAATAATTAGTGTATGAATCTTAATTGTCTGGTTAAGAAAAATGAAAACAAGATTAATTTATTATAGACATATGCGTAGCTATATTAAACTCTTTGTTTAAGATGAAGCCTCTATGTCAAAAAACAGAAAAGACAAAAATATTCCTGTATGTTGTACATTTTAAAAAGAAATTAACAAATTAAGTTAATTTTTGTGCTTATAATTTGGCTGGAAAACTGGTGGCTTAGTATGCAATTTGAGTGTAGGATAGCATGCAAATGGACCCACCAGCACTTATCAGCTATTCACTTATTCCCTTGTTTGTTAAACTATTCAGAAATGCCTACTTCTGGTAAGCTGTATTTAAAGCTGTTTTCCCAAAACTAAAAGCTTCCTTTAAATTGACATTTTAAAGTTCACAGGCAGCCCTTATGCCTTTTGTACCAAACTGGCAGGAGCAACAAGGTGGTCCCTGTGGAAGAACCACTTAAAACTTAGTCTTCAGTAAAGGAGCCATGCATGATACTAGCAAAGGATGGAAAGCCTTCAGCTTGTTAGCAGTGTGTGCCTCACTAGAGGGCTGCCTGCAGAGTCCCGGAGCACAGTACATCTCTAGTCCCACAACAGTATATACACTATTGCATCTTATTAAAGCAAGGATTACAATTGTACAGTTCTATCCCATTTAACTTGCTGGAATTCCCAAAAAGGCTAAAAGGTTGACTGTCTTTAACAGCCTGGTTCTAACAAGTAAATAGGGAAAGGCTTTGACTATTTGTAATTTATTTTTGACTCTTAGTATTTGCATATGTTCAACCTAAATGTAGTACCTATCAAGAATGCATTTATTTTTTCTCAAATTAAAAAGTCAAACATTAAAGGCCATAGAATTACTTTCTGTTCGTTAGAATTCACAACTGCTTATGTCTATCATAATTTTGTACCCCCTCAATCCTTACATATGGGGAAACTGAGGTCCTGAGGTTTCATGATCGATTAGTGGCAAAGCATGACAACAACCTAAGCCCCTCACCTCCCCCGGTATAGCAAAGAGCTCTTTCCAGTGCACTACGTCACCTCCAAACGTCACGCTGTGAGTTGCATGGAGTCATTTGCTGCCATAGAGAGAGATCTATGGGATCATAAGTGACCAGACACTCCAAGACATTTTTTTTAAGATTTATTTTATTTTTATTGAAAAGTCAGGTTGACAGAGAGAAAGATCTTCCACTGCTGATTCACTCTTCAAGTGGTCACAGGGCCAAAGCTGAACTGATTCGAAGCCAAGAACCAGAAGCTTCTTTAGGGTCTCCCAAGCGGGTACAGGGTCCCAAGGTTTTTGGCCATCCTCTACTGCTTTCATCCTCAACTGCTTTCCCAGGCCACAAACAGGGAGCTTCAATGGGAAGTGGGGCAGCTGGCATGTAAACCAATGCTCATATGGGAACCCAGTGCATGCAAGGCAAGAACTTTAGCCACTATGCTACCACTCCAGACCCACTCCAAGAATTTTATGGTACAGATTGCTTATTTGAGCTCTCAGCCACTTTCTGCGGTCATACTGCAGCTTACCAGCGTGCTGAATTCAGACACTGAGGGGCCTCCAATGAGGTAGAACATCATGACCAAAGTAGGGTTTGGCTAGCTTATAGTCACACTACTGTCTCATTGTTTCTTGTATCTATAAACCCCAATCATGATGACTTAGCTCAAGACCTCCTTGGCTTTTCTGTTTTACTCATTCATAGATTCTCACTCCTTCCCTCTCACTCCCAACTTGCATCCTTTCATGGTTTCTGCCTTTGAAACTCCCATCCAACTGCTGCCTCATCCTTCCTGTCGTCCCAAGATTGAAAGTCTACACTGGGGCCTGGCACGATAGCGTAGTGGCTAAAGTCCTCACCTTGCATGCGCTGGAATCCCATATGTTCGCCAGTTCTAATCCTGGTGGCCCTGCTTCCCATCCAGCTCCCTGCTTGTGGCCTGGGAAAGCAGTCGAGGACAGCCCAAAGCCTTGGAGCCCTGCACCCGCATGGGAGACATGGAAGAGGTTCCTGGCTCCTGGCTTCAAATTGGTGCAGCACCAGCCATTGCGGCTGCTTGGGGAGTGAAACATCGGAGGGAAGATCTTCCTCTCTGTCTCTCCTCCTCTGCATATCTGCCTTTCAAAACAAATAAATAAGTCTTTTAAAAAAATAAAAAGAAAGTCTACACCATGACTATTGAGTTCCTGTGTGGATGAAGACCAAAGGTACAGAGCAAAGTAAAGAAGCTAAAGATGATTTAAAAACTTTTTTTTTCAAAATGTCAACAATAAAGGTCCATATTCTATCTCTTGTTATAGCAACAATGCAATGAATAAAGGAATCAGAAGCTGAGTGGTGTGGTGGTAGCAGGGACTTGAAAAGACCCCAAAAGAACATTCTGAATCATCAGGAAAATTAAATGGTTAATAGTACATTTTTCTTACTAGAATATTTTCTAGATATAAAATTACTGTCATTTGAGGCCAGCATAGTAATGTAGCAAGCTAATCCCCAGCCTGCAACACCAGCATTTCCTATGGGTGCCAGTTCGTGTCCCAGCTGCTCCACTTCCCACCCAGCTCTGATAATGGCCTGGGAAAGCAGCAGAGGATGTCCCAGGGCCTTGAGCCCCTGCACCCACGTGGGTGGTCCAGAAGATGCTCTTGGCGGCCAGCTTCAGATCAGTTCAGTTCAGGTCTTTGCAGCCAATTAGGGAGAGAATTAGATGACTGAAGATCTCTCTGTCTCTCCTTCTCTCTGTAAAACCTGCCTTTCAAAAAAAAATCAATCAATCTTTTTTTTTAAAATCTGTATCATTTGGGGCAATTGTTTAGTCAGGTTTATAAGAGTCAGGAAGCTACCACAACCATCATGAAAATAATTAAGGAATGAAAACAGACCATTTGTTTAGAGAAATAAGCTTTGTATGAAGAAGGTTAACAGGGAAACTAGGCCTTGTTTGGGAAATATGCATTATGCCAGTGACAGGCCATAAATACAGAGAAATGAAATTCAATCCCTACTATGCATATTTGTGTTATTCAAATAGAAGCTACCATATCTTATTTTTGCTCTTTTTACTTAAAAAGCAACAATAGGTTTCTGAGTGAATTAGGATATTCATAAACACTTGGGGAATGTTGATCCAAGTTCAGGAAACCAACTTTTCAAGCTCTCCAACACTCATTTGTGTACAGATAATTAACGTGCTGATTTTCAATGATCTTCACTTACTAATTGGAGCATACTCTATCAAGACCCCAAACTGGCAATACTCTGTTAGTTGTTTATAATATCAAAAATTGATTAAAGTAATCTGTAATTCAGTATTGTTACATCAGAATGTCAGTCTCTCCCATTACACTGTGTTACAGAAGCCTAATTGTGCTGCACAGAGTGCCCACATTTCAGCACCCACTGGATCCTCATTAAAGAATAGTAGAAATGATCTGTAAATGCCAGATGCAGTGGGGACTCAAGCAGTTTCCTCTGTTGCCAGGGGTATAAAAATCAAGTCTCCTCTTAGCAACCAAAGTGTCCACAGTATTTAGAGGAAGAAAACATCAGCTATGCACCCGTACTGCTATTACAATTTATAAAACTTTAATTAATATAAAACTTTCAGAAAATGAATAAACAAGTGTTCTAGAAATTCCAATGTTATCTGATCCATAAAAGGGAGTTCAGTGTTCATGTAGGTCAAAGCAAAGTCTGGCAACAAATCCTCAGCATAAACTCAGCAACTCAGTTTCAACCTAAGCACTCCAGAACCTCAGAGCTTCCCATCCCCCAGAGTGCTCTCCATCACTCAACAGCCAAAGCATCAGACAGGCTTTCTTTACGCTGGGACAAAATGTGCTTCCATCCTGTTGTTACACATTGATCTAAGTTCCTAGAGGGGAAAAATCCCATATTTTTCCGTGGTTGGCTACATGGTATCTTTAATATATGTGTTTTCATTCATCTCAATAATCCTGTGAGACAATGTTCTTAACTATCTTTGGTTTATAGATGAAGACTTAGAGGCTGAGACAGATTCAGGAACTGCCCAGGTCATTGAGTAGTGAAGTGGCATAGGCAGGATTTGAACCAATTTTCAGGCTACACTCACTAACCAAATTGTCTCCTCACACATTATTTTTAAACATGAAAGAGGTTGATTTTGCTTACCCTGCACACCAGTCCTTGCAGGCAAGAAGAGATCGAACATTTGAAGGCATATCCTGCACACTCTGAACTCATGTGTTCTGAGTATACCCGGGAGCCCAAATCTGTACTCCCAAACCAGAAATATGAGTACAGAAACAAAGCAGCCACTCTCCCATCTGGAAGTCTCTCAGCATCTCAATTTAACAGGTTCCTGGTTGGATTTATCCATTTTTCTCCATTTTCCTTCACATTTCACTCATGATCTTGAACAGAAGCACCACTGTTTACTCTAGATTCCGTGCAAGGAACCTAGACAACTATCCAACATACTTCTCACCAGCTATCCTCATAATATCATAAAATTTTGTCTTTTGATATATCTTGTGTCTGCCTCTTCCACTCCATTCTCATTGCTATTGATTTATTCAGTACATATTGTCTCATGTAGACAAATTCAACAGCTTCCCAAATGGTCTATTAGCCTCCAATAGTATCCCTGTCAAGCCTCCCTGCCTCCATCTAGATAACCATCTGGATGATGCAATATGGCAATTCATGTCCCTCCTCTGCTACCAATCTCCCAACAGCTTCTTGTTGCCTTTACATGAAATTTTCAAACTTAGTGCATCAAATGTTGAAGTTCCTCAAATAATTTAAATGAATCAACAGCATTTGAGAACTATGGAAGTACAAGGCAAAGTTTATACTCTCGATTATCTGAATGTTGCTTAGCTTTGTAGTCATCATTCCTGATGCGTTTCTCTTGACAAGGACCAATCCAGCATTCCTAGAAGCATGTCATGCTATCTCACACAGATCTCTTTGCTTCTATTGGGGCTGACCTCTCAGTACAAAATGCCATGTCTACCCTGGGTCACCCTCTACTGAATCTTCAAATACTAAGTGAGGTATCACTTCTTCAGTAAACCCTTTTCTGACCTTATAAAACTAGGTTAAGCACCATTCCTCTGTAGCCACATTTTTTAAAATGCCACTCAGTATATTCTGCTGAAATTATTTCCTTATTTATCTGATCCCCTGGCAATTATAAAGGCTTTTAAAATCAAAGAACCTGTTATTCATTACTGACAAGCATCTTTCACTTAAAAGGCTTCCGGTAAATTCTTACCTGAAATGAGCCCAATTTGAAATGCAGGCTCTATACTTGACTAGGAGGAAACCTGAATTTTAGAAAACTTAATTGCGTTTTCTTGGCCTCAGTTCCCCATCCTATAAAATAGGTGCAATAAATCCACATGCTCACTCACACGCCAAACCTATGAATGTCCACTAAGGGACAGACACTAAGTTATAGAAAGTCTGAATGAATCAAATGATACGTGTGAAGGATTTTGTAAACTGATAAACAATATTACAAGGTATTTCTGCAATTTTACCTTCTGGCTAGTCTCTGTAAACAAGACATAATAACTGCATTCCACAATATCGAAGTCTGCTAAGCCTTATAGTCCACCTTTCCAAACAACTTAGAAAGGTGACTTAGTTCAATGGGAAGTGCACACTGTGGAAACCATAAGATAGCAGAAATCCACTCTGATCTGGGCTACTTTCCCAAGGACAGTGGTTTCACAACTGAGTACCACTGAGGATAGGTTACTGAACTGCAATCCTTGCCCCCACTGACTTTTGCCATAGCTGTGCTAGTAGATCATTGGTAAAGGGTGTAGAGCCTGGTGGACCAGGTTAAACTGGGCTCTATAGCATGACCTCTTGAGGCTTATCCAGGTCTTCCTTAAGCCTGTTCACTCGATTAAATAGTCTCCTGATATTTTCCTAAGGCTGTCACTTCTAGGGGCAGCAAGCAATCTAAATTGACTACTTGGTCCTGGGAATTTGAGCTTAGAGTAGCACTGGGCTAGTTTATCTTGTCCCAAGGGCTT